TCTACACACCTATAAAACTTTTGCTTTGTTTTCTATTGTTAATTTATATACATTTTTGTTTTAAGAAATTGCTAAACATTTTCGTCTAGTACTGTACATTTCTAGCCGATCTCCTAAGCCCGCCCATCGAGAGCTCTACTCGTTCAAGCTTGTTCCAACTATGTCTGTCTTGCTCACGCCTAGTGTGTATTCTTTCTATATTCGCGCAGATTTCTTCAAGGTCACAATTCTAACAAATTGGAATAGACTGTAGAAAGGATTGTCAGAAGTGATCTAGGCTTATATTTTTGAGATCCAAGGTCTAACCCAGGACATGTAGCAGATCAAATGCTCTTCATATTTGAAGAATGTCTTTCATTTGAAGGAGATGTTTTGATTTATTTTAGAAACAATACGACATGAAATACCAGTTTTTTAAGACGCCATAAAAAGATTGGTTGAAGGATACATATTTAAAAAGGCGATTTCGTACTTAAAGGTTTAAAATTAAATAATCCTAGCCAATCAAAAAATACTCAAATCCCGGACATTTTTGCACTATATTTACAAAAAACCAGGACTGTAAATCTTGGTAAGTTTTTCTTCACAATGGTCTATTGGTTACTTTTAAATTGTTACTTACTTACCCCAGCAAAATCGTAATTTTCTGCTGCTTTTAATTGTGTTCTATCTGCACACTGGCCAGGTGACGCGATTTGTGAATAACAATACGTTATTAATGCAAGAAAAGCAGTCGTGAAAAGTAATTTAAACATTTTTGCTACTTTTTATTTGTTGCTAGGAAAGTACAATTGTTCTATATTTTTCTGAACGTATTTATATGTATGGAGAAAAATTGCCCAAAAAATCAAATCGTGTCTCATATCGTGTACCGCACAAAAAATTTGTTTTTATCTGTTAATTATAAAAGAATTCGAATTAATTAAGAGCTCTATTGTTTTGCGTTTTTTTTGCAGTAAATCAATCAATCAGGTGCTTGTAATATGATAAAAGTTCCAACAAGAGAGTTTTTACAAAGGACTTTATTTTANACGTATTTATATGTATGGAGAAAAATTGCCCAAAAAATCAAATCGTGTCTCATATCATGCACCGCACAAAAAATTTGTTTTTATCTGTTAATTATAAAAGAATTCGAATTAATTAAGAGCTCTATTGTTTTGCGTTTTTTTTGCAGTAAATCAATCAATCAGGTGCTTGTAATATGATAAAAGTTCCAACAAGAGAGTTTTTACAAAGGACTTTATTTTAGAAGTACATGATAATGTCATCAGGTCTAGTCTGAAGATAGAATGAATTAAGTTTTTATAAAAGAATACAGTATTGATTATTTGTCTACTAAGCATTTTTTAATTAAAAGAAAACGACATGCAAGCATGGGAATAGTACATTACGTATCGAGGGAAGAAACACGGTTATTTCAGACTGCATGTGAATTGCAGTCTGCGACAACCTTTTTCTTCCCGAGGTACGTATACTATTTTTTGTCATGTTTGTGCGGAAAGCTCGTTATTAAATTGATAGTTGGCGAAATAAGAGTAAATGATTTAGAGGTTAGAAAGACATTGACATTGAACAACTGATTTCTGCGCATGCCCATAAACTTCAGCGCATGCGCTCAAAAGACTAATTTCATTGCCTCCCGACTAAAACACGCCTGAAAAGAGGCCATTTCTTCCCTATTTCATAGTATGCAAAACGAGCTTTCTGCGCTAACATGACAAAAAATAATGTCATTGAAAAGAGTTGTCGTATTTAGTATGTAGCAATTGTACGAGGAACCACAGTCAGTGGCATTCAGGATTGCTTGACTTGCTAGTTATTAAGCTTAAGTTCGCGTTTAAAAGTAGTTTTATAAGAAAGCGACGAATGTTTTACTTCCTCACAAAATTAAGTTCTCGGTTCCAGATTTGAGTTAATTGATTAATATTAAAATTAGTAAAGAAGTAACATATAAATAATTAAGTGAATTGTTGAAGTAAGTTTCGAAAATTAATAAATTCAAAACATTGTCAAACTACTAAATGCGATCAGTTATTTATAACTTAAAAGAAAATTCGAGTTAAAGAAAATTTTTACTTTATGGTCACAATTTCAAATTTCGAAGGTATCTCTTCTACGCAAGTATTGGGATCCGTCAAATGGGAGGAGCCTAAAAACATGGCGCCGATTAGGGAAAATTTATCGTAGTTCCTATAGTGTACCGTGCAATTTCCAAGTTTTTAAATTACGATAAAATGATAAGTATTGACACAATATGTGATTGGGCTGACACAAAGCCTCGGAAAGGAAATTTCGTTGAAGGTGAGCGTGTTTTTAATGCCAATCACATTATAAAATTCGGAAATAACAAATCCGGAAGCTAGCCTTCAAATTCCGTCAAGTTTACTGCCTACTTTTTACAAACTTCGGATTTAAAAAGTGATTCACGTTATATAATTGGTGAGGTGATTCTGGGTGATTTAAGCAATATCATATCAATGACTTGCACGTGCAAAGCCGATTTAAGAGAACGTTGCAAACACATTATTGCAACTTTGTTGTATTGCAGCAGGTAGGTTCTTAACCTCAAAATACTTATATCGTATCATTAGAATTGTGTTAAATCAATTACACAGGAATAAATAATTTCTCACTTTATAATTTTAGTATGATTCTAGTTTTAAATATTAAGGTTATGGCTGATGGTAAATACTTGCTGAAATATAATCATGTGCATTAAAATGACGTGAACAAATTTTTATTCCGGAATTCACTTCTTTGATACCTACTGCTTTCATCCAAGCTTCTATTAGTTTACTTTTTTCTCTAATTTTCCGAATATATTTTTTACATATATAAAACGGTTAGTTTTTATTGGAAAGTAGTTAATGTAGCTGAAGAGTGAAGATCTATGTCTGAAGTGCTATTGCAGCTTTTCACTGAACATATTAGCTTTTTATTTGATTTAACTTTAGAAGAAAACTTCGTCGACTCCATCATCAAAAAAATTTTTACTTTTTTAACGTGTTTTATTATTTTAATAAACAATTTTACAATTTGCTTGCACGGTTCCTATGTAAATTTTCCCTCATTCGAGTTATAAATTTTGCCACCAGATGGTGTATGCCCATTTGACGGATTCCAATATTAATTTTAGTTTAAAGCCCACCATTTGTAACCCTTAAAATTTCAGATCACGATGTGAGACAATATGTGTACTTTGTTCGTGTTGTGTTTTCATATCGTAACCTTATTATCCTAACCTAACTATCTTTTCCGCTGTTTTCCATAATATAATATTAGTGTGTAGCAGTAAAAATTTATGGTGGTAATAATTCTATTTAACAAAAGCAATTCGCTATTGCTACCGCTGATTTCTCTAAAAACATATTGGAAATCCGATTCTTTTCAGCCGTGTTTTAGTCGGGAGGCAATGAAATTAGTCTTTTGAGCGCATGCGCAGAAATCAGTTGTTCAATGACAATGTCTTTCTAACCTCTAAATCATTTACTCTTATTTCGCCAACTATTAATTTAATGACGAGCTTTCCGCACAAACATGACAAAAAATAGTATACGTACCTCGGGAAGAAACAGGGTTGTCTCAGACTCCAATTCACATGCAGTCTGAAATAACCCTGTTTCTTCCCTCGATACGTAATGTACTGTTTACTAATGACTTTTATTATTATTATTTTTATCAAAAACCGAGAAAACTGATTAAAAGAAACCATTTACATGCTGACAAATTTAATAGTGCTTAATTTCATACAAAATTCACAAATTCTGCTGTGATTTTTATGGTGTACAAACATTTGGGTCCTGTATAGCATATACTAATTCTGCGGCTAAATCAGAGAGACCATTATCTTCAAGAATTTGGAAAACCGGAGCTGATGATTGTGGTGTGAAACTCCTACTTCTGCTTCTCGCAAATAGTATTTCTAGACAAACAATTCTATACTTAAAATACAAAAAGAAAGGAAAGTTGAATATCGTAAAGACTAACGATTGACTTTACAAAGAGTCTGAGAAATAGAAATAAAAATGAAAATTAACTATACACATTTTTAATTCAGCGACGTTTCGTAATTGTATTAAGATTTTCTCAGGCTCTAAAATTAAAAAGACGAAACATTTCCAAATTTATCATATGTAAAGTGTTGAGGAAACTTTGTGTTATTTTCTGTCCATAAAATGATTCAATTTTTCATTAACATTGCCTCTATTGGTTTTGATTAAGAAAATACTCTCTTACCGATTCTGCTTGTGCTATTTACATCGACGCATCTGTAATCAACGCTGTACCTATCACGATCAGTTCCAAGCATTTTATATACCAATGGATTGCTAGGATCGGAGGATCTTCTGATTGTTAAAATCCCATCACGTTTACCACTGCTCGGTGTCCATGTTGTTACACCAGACCTACTATCCCATGTTCCAGAAGTTAAATTTTTTACAGACCAGAAGAAGTTCGCGGTTACGTTTGATGTCATGGTATTATTCAGATACAGGCAGTCGCCCGGCGTGTTATACGTAAAAATAGTGTACCATAGCCTGCCAGTAGCTACATACTATTGAGAAAAAATGTAATCAATTTAATAAATATTTATTTCATCTACAAATTTATGGATCTATGTGCCATTGTGACACAAACGACCCTTAATAATCGATTTCCATGTGACTAGTACAAACAGGTGGAAAGAATTATCAGAAATGATCTAGGCTTATATTTTTGAGATCTAAGGTTCGACCCAGGACATGTACGTGAAATTATAAAGAACATTCACACTCGAAACACTAAACTTTCTTTGCCCAGTCGTATTTTTCACTAGACGTGTTATTGTTATTGTTATTGTTAATGTTTTTCTAAAATCAGATAATTTTAACCAGTCAAAAAATACTCAAATACCGGGCATATTTGCACCCCATTTGTAAAAAAACAGGACTGCAAATCTTGGTAAGTTTTAAAGTGAAACTTTTATTACATTGCCTCAAATTTTTTCGTCCATCTATCGCATGTCGCATTACAGCCGGCCACGGAGTGGGGGTGAAAGCAAAACGCGCTCGGCAGAACAGTCAAAGACAATATGGCGGCGCCCATGGTGTAGCATTTATATTCTCACTCATTCGTGCACGTGCTCCGCGGTATTTGTGTTTTAATCGTGAATTGGATGTCTTGCCTACTATTGATTTCCGATTATCATTCCCATTTTCCAATCAGTAAGATAAGATTAGGAACGCGATTTTAATTTTAATACTCTAAATCGAATAATTTTCTGAAATTTACAGTTAAATGCCTGTAATCTGAAACGTGTCACTTGCACCGTGGTTTAAAAACAATCACATTTCTTTTTCTTCACAATGGTTTATTGGTTACTTTTAAATTGTTTATTATTGAATTATATAAATGCCAACAAATTCGCTAGTAAAACCTCGTAAATAAAATCAACTTACCCCAGCAAAATCATAATCTTCTGCCGCTTTTAATTGTGTTCTATCTGCACACTGGCCAGGTGACGCGATTTGTGAATAACAATACGTTATTAATGCAAGAAAAGCAATCGTGAAAAGTAATTTAAACATTTTTGCTGCTTCTTATTTGTTGCTAGAAAAGTACAATTGTTCTATATTGCTCAAGAAATCAATGCGTGTCTTATATCGTGTACCGCATAAAAAATTTGTTTTTATCTGTTAATGATAAATGAATTCAACGTTCTTTTTTGTAGTAAATCAATCAATCAGATGCATATGATACGATAAAAGTTCCAAGAAAAGAGTTTTTAACAAGAACTTTATTTTAGAAGTACAAGATAATGATCGTCGGGTTTAGTTTGAAGCTAGAATGAATTTTAGAAGTTTTCGTAAAAAATACAATATTGATAACACACAAAGGACACGATTTTCATTTGAACCCTTGCCACGTAATGAGTGCGACGAAAAATTATTCGATAAACATTGTTTCTAGGTTTTTAACGATGCTCTTTTCGATGGTGTTGGTTAGAAATATCTCTGACAATATTAAATCATGGAAAGATCGAAAATAAACAAAAAAACGTGATTTTTGAGCTGACTTTTTTCAGTTCTTGCTGTTTTAAAGGTCGAGGATCATTCGTAGATTTATAAATTTCACCCCTGCTTGGCAAATCATCATCACTAAATTTTGAATTTTGTGATAAAGGCATATCGGGGCTCTTGGTTTTAGTAGAACCTGGTATGGGTAATTCGGGTCCGTGTGGAACTGGCTTCGTTACAGACGAAACATCAGGATGTACAATTTTGGCACGGTTTTCAGAATTATATTCTATTACATATGTCGAACAAAAATAACAAACATTAGTATGACTTTTTTGTTCCCGCCACAGCACAATATCGAATAACAATGATTTTGATTTACTATAAGTCCACTGTCTTAACATTTCAACACATAATCGGCATACTTTATGCGGAACTCACTGTTTATCTTGGTGGCCCAACTTCATTCCGAACTAGGCATAATAAGCATTTTTTGCAAAGTGCGTTAGATTCCATCTTTGCTTAACAATTGTATATTGTCCGCAAATGTAACAAAATACATTTGGATTGTTTTTACAATTCCGAGAAGCCATAGTTAAAGATAAATGAATCACAATCTTTTGTTACACGTGAATGTTATATCTCTCTCAAAAATGACGCGCTATCAATTATTTTTTTTATTAGGCAATATAAATCACTAAAGCTAATCTCACACTATCTAAAATAAAGTAATAGGCAATATAATGCTCAATCATCATCATTAGCCATCAGTCCTCTACTCTTTCCTATCCTGAGCTAATCTTCGCGTTTTCCTAAAACTATAACAACCCTGTCAGAGAGTGTAAAATAGAAATATAAACTATAAAATGAAGGTAAAGGTCTAGATGATGGCCGCCACCCCCCAAGGGGGTGAGGGGGATCGAAAGAGAACGTCTCCCACTGTACCATAAAAAGCTCGTGGCGGTCTCACCCCCATAAAAAGTTATTTATATGGTCATTCTTAAACAATATTCAAAGGTAAAACAAATGAAAAATACATAAAAATATTGAGAAAGTTATATAAAACATTATTTAGGTAAATATCTTTATCAATAGGTTAGGTAAGGCTAGGTTAGGTTATCGGGTTTTGTTCAAGTGACCACCCTCTTTCGATCCCCATCAAAATAATCAACTTTCAACCCCTATAACTTTTTATGGGGGTGAGACCGCTGCAAATTTTTTATGGCGTTTTACTCAGGTACCCCCGAAGGGGGTGGGGGCCGTCATCTTGACCTTTACCGTGTGTTCTATTCAGACGCACATTAAATTAAACAAAATTAAAGATTCTTCAGGAAATGTAAAGGAGTGTTTAATGTGTAGGCAATAATTTCTATTAAACAACGTTTCGTCCCCTATATAGATATATATATCATTGGATATTTACCTATTACATTTTTACAAAGTACAATATACAGTTTACTAAAAAGTGGAGTATTTAATAACAATTAAGTACATATTTATAAAATCTGTTTCCAAAATAATGTTGTGAATGTACGCAAAGATAAAATGTAAGACGACATAGGTACATGCATACTATCAAGCGGACTTGAAGAAGTCCATATAAAAGCGAATAATGCGTTGTACGTACAATTGTCAAGCNATCGCAGACCTGTGTAATTTGTCTACTAAGCATTTTTAAATTAAAATATAAGTTGCTGTCAGCATGGGAAAATAGTGTCCTTGAAAAAAGTAGTCGTATTTTGCCTGTAACACTTCCCCGTTGAGATGAAAAGTTGTAATTAATTTTCCAAAGGTGTTAGAGGCTTGTACTGTCTTCAAGATGTAATGATCGGTGAAGTTTGGGTTGAAACTTCCCTTCTATAGCTTATTGGGTTAGAATTTGACGTTATATGATCCCGAGCCACAGGTTCTTCTCTAGTGGTAGTGCTGTAGTTGACAAGTCGTAACCACTGACCTGGATGACAATGGTCTACAGAATTTGAAGCATTCTGGGCAACAACAATAAACCAAACAAATCAATAATAGTATTAATATAATTGCAGTCAAAGTGGTTAACCAATAATTTCCATATATTTTTGAAAATTTTCTTTCTTTTGTATCGATTTTGTTTTTAATGTCCATGAGTTTTGCTACGACTAGGATTAAACTCTCTTTATTTAAGTAGTTTAAATTGCAGGGTTGAAGATTTTGTGAGTTGTTTTTATATTTTTCTTTCAAGCAGCGGAGTTCATTAGCAAAAATAACAAGTACATTTCAAAGTTTCACATTTATAAGTGAAGTCGAGTGTACTTGTGGAAGCTGCTAATCAAATGTTTTGATCCCTCAAGAGTGGTGTAAATTTGACATGTATCGGGAAATGTCTTTTATGTTAATAATTGAGGAATGCAGGTGAAACAGTTCCTGTAGTTCAGCTTTTTCTGAAATCCATATATCTTCAATTTGCAGCAAATCGTTTACGGACAGAATGTCGATAAACCATTGGCGGTCAGTAGATAAAGCAAAATATTGCGTTGGTGGCAAAAGAATGTGAAATAAGGAGCTTTGAGTAGATGCCGGATTAGGGAAAAACAATTTGAACTGTAAAGATTTACTAAGAGGAATTTTTAATTTAAATAGCAGTAATTTCAGTATAAAATAATTGGAATAAAATAATTCGAAGTGGTCTGTATCTAAAATGTAGCATCGTGCTACAGATGGCGTTCACTGTGCCGTTTGTAGTATTTTCTGAATTTCAGTATAGTTCGTATTATAGAGCGAATCTTCTTTTACTATATTTATAAATTGCAGTGCTTGTGTGTTATTTTGTATTTATTGAAAAAGGAGAAAAATGATTAAAAAAAAAACATTCACATGCTAACAAATTTAATGGTGCTTAATTTCGTATAAATTTCACAAATTCTGCTGTTATTTTATGGTGAACAACGATTTGGGTCCTGTACAGAATTTACTGGAGCTAAATCAGAGAGACCATTGTCACTTAGAATTTGGCTAACCGCAGCTGCTTGTTGTGATGTGTAACTCCTACTTCTGCTTCTCGCAAGTAGTATTTCTAGACAAACAATTCTATACTATACAAAGGGAAGTTGAATTAACGATTGACTTTTAGAAAGATTATTATTAAGTCTCAAAAGTAGACAAGAAAATGGAAATTAACTCAACAATGCAATTTTTAATTCAGCGAAGTTTCTTAATTTTATTAACACATTCTCAGGCTCCTAAATTAAAAAGACGAAACATTTCCAAATTTATAGTATAGGGTTGTTCGGAAAGTCATTTCGTTTTTTCCCGACAGAGGATTTAATTGTATTCTTTTGCACCCAACTTCACATTTAAGCCGTATAATTTTTATATGCTTTGAGAGCTCATATAGCAAGGCTTGTGTGTGAAAAATTCCAATTAATTCTACGCAGTAGTTTTTGGTTGGTGCCCTTTTAAATATGGAGAGCGATAAGCAGCATTTTCGACATATCTTACTGTTTTACTACAGAAAGGGTAAAAATGCTGTTCAAGCCAGAAAGAAATTGACTGATGTGTATGGAGAAGGTGTGTTGACAGTACGCCAGTGCCAGAACTGGTTCGCTAAATTTCGATCCGGCAATTTTGATGTCGAAGATGCACCACGTTCGGGAAGGCCGGTTGAAGCTGATAAAGACGCGATAAAGGCATTAGTTGATGTGAACCGGCGAATAACAACACGTGAGATCGGATTGAGGTTAAATTTATCAAATTCAACAGTTTATGACCACTTGAAAGGCCTGGGATTATCCTCGAAGCTCGATGTATGGGTTCCCCATGTTCTCACAGAGAGAAATCTGTGTCGCCGCATTGACGTCTGCGATTCGCTTCTCAAACGTCACGAAAATGATCCGTTTTTGAAGCGCATCATCACTGGGGACGAAAAATGGGTTGTATACAACAACGTCAAACGCAAGAGGTCATGGAGCAAAAAAGATGAACCGGCTCAAACCATTTCCAAAGCCGATATTCACCAAAAAAAGGTGATGCTGTCTGTTTGGTGGGATTTTAAAGGAATCGTTTTTTTTTAGCTTTTACCGGATAACACAACGATTAATTCGGAAGTCTACTGTCATCAGCTGGACAAACTGAATGATGCACTTCAACAGAAAAGGTCAGAACTAATCAACAGGAAAGGTGTAGTGTTTCACCAAGACAACGCGAGACCTCACACAAGTTTGGTCACTCGCCAAAAGCTTTTACAGCTTGAATGGGATACAATGCTACACCCACCATATTCTCCAGACCTGGCACCATCGGATTATTATTTGTTCCGGTCACTCCAAAATTTTTTAGACGGTAAAACCTTCACCTCAAATGAGGAGGTCAAAAACCTCCTCGATCAGTTTTTTGCCAGCAAAGACCAAAAATTTTATGAGCGTGGAATTATGCTACTACCAGAAAGATGGCAAAAGGTGTTGGACCAGAACGGTCAATATATAATTTAATAAAGTATTTGTTTATTATACGAAAACTGTCTTTCATTTCCACAAAAAAAAACGAAATGACTTTCCGAACAACCCTATAGAATATAGTGGTCTAAGTGAACTATTGTATCCAGACGTTTCGTCAGCTACTGCGGCTGACATCCTCAGTGGTAGTGGTGCGTTGACAGCGTGAACGTAGGTTATATCTCGAAGTCTCGACAG